GTGAACATCCGCTTTGCAGTTTTAGACATTAGACTTTCCCTCCAGCGTGGCTTTCCTATGGGTATTACTATATAGACACATACACAAGTAGAAATTTTCATCTGCCTAACCTAGCAAATATGATTGGCCCTGAGTGAGCTTGGCTTAAAACTTACTTTGTTATGACATAAAATTTTAATTTCATATTTTTAAGTAATGACAGGTCAGTAAGAAATTAAATCATTTTCTCATTCTATTTAACTGTTAATTTTTCCACTAAAAAAAGACAACAGTTGGGCCAATGAAATGACACAGTCCTGAGTTCAATCCCTAGAATCCACATGGTTGAAGAGAGAACCACCTCTTACACGCTCTCTGACCTCCAGATGTATAATAGCCTCAACAAACATGCATGCGTGTTCTCTCTCTCTCTCTCTCTCTCTCTCTCACACACACACACACACACACACACACACACTTACACTTTGATCTGTAGTCTACAGATCTGGAAGTAAAACAGAGTTGCATTAGCACTTCTTGGGCTCATTATATTGCCACACTGATAGTGAAAAGAACATAGAATGATTAATATGGAACATCACAAAATGCCAGCTAGGTGCATGATGTATCTTGTAATGCTGTGGACTCCTCACAAGAATAATTGGCTTATGAAACATTTCTCATATTAAAAAAGATATTTTATAAGCAGATTCTCAGAACAAGAGATTTCTTTCCTTTAAACACAAGTTTATAAACCATTCATCTTTCTATTGGTAATTTTATATGCTGCCTAAAGGAAAAATGAAGGCTAAGAATGGCAAATATTAAAACAAAACCATTTGAAATAATTATATGTTTGCTTTGACATGTTAAAGCATAAACCCCATGCTCCTGATGGCTCCCTCTGTCCCAGACAACTGTGGACAGCCTTACATTGTGACTTTCAGCCATGCTAGGCATGACTTACTTATCCCTTTCAGAGACAAGTCCCCAGGGCCTAAGCAACCTTTTTCCTCTGCATTTTCCCCTGAGTTTGGAGACCCAGCCTAGTGAAAACTGCTGACCTCATTCCTCCTTTCTTCCTCCTCACTGTTGGTGGTGTTGGGCTCATACCTGCTGATCCTCCCAACTTCACTGACCCTAAAAGTGAAGCATCCTCCTTGAACCTCTCCCTATGGGGCTCCTCTTGGGCAAGGTTTTGTGAAAGAATCTGAGCTCAGGCTGTAGATGTTCCTGTCCAAAGCAGACTATTATTCATACCATTCACATCTAGAGAATGAATTTTGTCTATTCTGAATACAAACTTCTCTAGCTACTCAGAAATAACAAACATGCTAGTCAGTTTTGTACTTAGAAATGCACTGGTAGTAGAAATGTTTTTATAATTTCCAAAATTATGCTTTCTTCATGAATCCATTTGAATTACTGCATGCAAATACACATTTCCAAACTTGAAATACAGGTGCAAACAGTGGGGGGGATTATGTATTAATACAAAAGTGTCTCCACAAAAACAAAAGCCTAGAAAGACCAAGGTGGCTTAAGATCATATAGCTAGAATGAAGGCTGTCTCATGAAGTCTTGATAAGAGTGTAATGGACATTTAAAGAGGTTTCTACAACAAACCCAAATGGAGGCGAAAATCTGAGCTAAACATACCTCACTAGTTGCTATGACACTGCCAGAACCAGAGAGGACTACAAGTTTCACTCAAGGAAACTAAGCAAGAAGTATGACAACAAGTACACACAATAGTGCAAAAACTCGTGAAGATAGGCATATGGTGGCATAGGAAACGTGGTGTCAGAGTTGGTGATGCTGGGCACAGTGGAGTTTCTGACTGAAATGCACACTGAGAAGGGAGGAGCCAGCAAGCATACTAGGAACATATATTCCCCAACAGAAAAGCAGGACACTCAAGTTAGAACACAATACAGCCTCTGAGCAGATGAGAAGAAATTGAGACAGGATTATGAAAATGTATTCCAAAATCTGAGACCCAAGAAAATCAAATTAAAGAGTACAAGCCATTATCTAGCACAAAGTATTTGCTCCACCTCATTCCTTCCTCTCTTTCCCGACCCCTTTCACTCCTTCCCCAAGCTGCTCAAGACCACACCTACAGAGTGTTTAAGACTCAGATCATACACCTGCCATGTGGTTTCTCTCCTGCCTTTCCAAGCGTCACCCAGAAGTAGCTTTGCTCTATTTACTAAAACCTGCTTTTTTAATTCGGCTGGATTTGGCTTATTGCATCAGTGGAGAAACACCTCCAACCCCTAAACCAGAGACTCAAAAATACTTACCTAAAGTATTAAACACACACACACACACACACACACACACACACACACAATTACCAAATGTTAATATTAGTGAAAGAAAGCTGAAATGCCCCAGATACACCCAACTTCTAACTTTCCAGGGCCAGGAAATCTGACAATGTTAAAATCCAACCTCCCAGAAAACACAGAAAGAAAAAGCTGAGGTTACTAGTTTGGAACACACACACACACACACACACACACACACACACACAGGAACTGACTGATCAAAAAATGTTTGCTCTTGAGACAATGTTAGCACCTTATCTTAACATTTACGATTCTTACACAACTCTGATTTCAATTCTATGATCCCAAAAGGGGAAAAGAAGAAAAAGCTTGAAAAATGAAAAAGTATTCCTTCTCTCCAAAAAACTCAGATTTTAAAATGTATACAAAAATAAAAAATAACAGTTTATACAGCAACTTAATGGGAAGTGATGTGACTTCTGTTTCCCAGTTAGCTGGGATTTACCACAAGGTTTATAAACTACGCACACACAGCACCAGAAGTAAAGCAAAGGTTGAGGACTAACTGTAACCCTAGATTTGGCTTTGTTTCCTCTGCTGATTCTATTTAAATCATGAACAATATTCTATCTAAAGGGTGGGGGCAAGAAAAAAGACTTTTCATAGGTGGGTAACAAACTTCAAAAGTCAATGAATTCTTCAGATCCACCTCAAAAAACACATCCTGAGAGACCGGCAGGTGGCAATTGGAACACAGGAAAAAGACTAGAGACAAGAAATAAAAACTGTCTCTTTAGAAGGAAAGGGAGAATGTACAGTTACAGACTGGTAAGTGTTGAATCTGTGGAAGATCAGGTATAATAAAGACAGTTTATCCATGTCAGAAATAGAAATGGTGATCTTATGAATAAACACGGACCAAGAACGTTCTCTCCCCTGATGGAACAATGAGAACAGTAGGGAATGGGAGTCACCATGGTCAAATGTCTTACTGTCCTTTCACGTGTCACTTCTCACGTGTTTTCTAAACATAGACCAGTGACTCAGGTCCAACCATCAGGAGAACAGCAGCTATTTGTCTACAGGTATTGACTCTAGTGAACATGGAAAGCTGTCGCACCTGCTGAGAACAGAACTGTTCTGTCTTTACTTGGTTACCATGACAGCAGCATCAATGTCTCATGCTGCTGAACAGCCACTTGCCCTCACACTGAAAGTGAAAACAGTAAGATGGAAGTAGAGCCAATAGATGGCACAAGAGAAGGGTGGGTGTCCGTTTGAACAGCAAGATTAACTATCAGGAGCCAGTTTTACTGGGCTTTACAGTTAAATATTTTATTGCTTAAGTTAAGTTGAATTCTTATCATTTGCAGGCGAAAGAGTCTTACTAATGCAAATATAGTCATGGAGACTAGAATCCACTCTAAACTCACATTGCTCTTACTAGATAAAGTCTGTCTTCCTCAGATCATTCTGCTTCTGTGTGTATATGTGCTGTGTGTGCTGTATGTATACCTGAGTGTGGGTGCACCCATGTGTGAATACTGTGCTAGCTTTATGCCAACTTGACACAAGCTAAATTCATCTGAAAGGAAGGAACCTCAATTAAGAAAATGCCTCCATAAGACCCAGTTGAAAGGCATTGTCTTAATTAGTGATTGACGGGGTAGAGCCCAGTCCTTTGTGGGTGGGGGCACCCCTGGGCTGGCGATCTTTGGTTCTAAGACTGAGCAAGCCATGAGAAGCAGCCAGCAAGCAGCACTGCTCCATGACCTCTGCATCAGTTTCCACCTCCAAGTTCCTGCCCTGCTTGCGTTCCTGCCCTGACTTCCTTCCATGATAAACAGTGATGTGAAAGTGTAAACCTTTTCCTCCCCAAGTTGCTTTAGTTGTGGTGTTTCACCACAGCAATAGAAACCCTAACTAAAACAAACACCGAACCCAGAGGGTGACATTTATCACTTTCCACATTGACTTGCGGCAGGTGTCTACTAAACCTGGAGCTAGACTGGCAGCCAACAAGCCCCAGTGATTCTCCAATCACTACAGGACATGATGCTGGGGTAACCGGTGCATGCTTAATTATACTGACTTTTTATAGGGGTTCCCAGGATTTGAACTTAAGCTCTCAGGCTTGTATAGGAAGCACTTTTACCTGCTGAGTCATCTCTCCGATCCACAGGCTTCTATTCTCCTGTTGTTTTTAAAGTCTCTGGTGCTCAATGCACATAGTAGTCATGGGTTTATCTTCCCTACATCATCCTGCAGTAAACATGACTCCATCAATACCATTTGGTAAAACTGCTTCAAGGTCCAACATAATGAGAAGTCCAATTACTGTTGCAAATATATGCTCCCCATCTGCAATGACTTTATTCACTTAAAATTAATTAACAGCAAACTTCCATAAATAGCATGACTTCATTTTCAAAAAAGGAATAAAATCATTGTTTATTCCCTTAAGTTATTAGAAGAGAGCTTTAACTAATTGCTCTATTAAGTGACTCAAAAAATACATTAAAAATGTAAACAAAGCAAGCTTAGATCCTTGTTTTGTGTTCCTTACAACTGTGTTCCAACAAAGAGCAAAAAACAGAAACAACATAAGAAAAGCAGGTTCCTTCTGCCTCTTACAGAAATGAACCAACAGAAGTCAATGTTTAAACCACTGTGCAGCAGTGAATCGCGTTAGTTCACTCATGGTCAGAGGAAAGGGGAAAGAGCGAGTTTAAAAAAACTACCTTTATTTATGTCTTTTTCAGTTACACACTTTTAAACAGGGCTGTGTTTCAGTATTCAGACATTCAGGCAACGTTGACTTCATTAGTGTTGACAGAAAAGAAGCATAAAAATGCAAAACATTGTTGGCTTAACCTGAACATTCCTGCATTACCTATTACTGACCAGTCTGCGTGTCAAAGACTCATTCTCTGACACTAAAATGGAGCACTTAAAAATATTGCTAAAAAGCAAATGTCTACACACTGGCCTTTGCAGCAAATAAGGGTATTCATACTTTTAAAATATTTAAGTCCATAATTGGATTAATATACACACCTTCTTATGTATAAGGAGTTCAGATCATATAAACACTGTACAGTCCAAAAAACCCTACTGAGAATAAAACTAAATAGGCTTATGATAAGAAATACAGATATCGCATGTATTTACAAATATCACAGACACACAAATTTGGTCAAATACTGTAAAGAAGTGGTTTCACATTATAAATGGCCAAAACATCCATCTACCTTGCTCAGAGCAAACAAAACCAAAAATTCAGTATTTAACTCCTGAAGTTTAGACATCATGACAGTTTATCAATAGAATGGAAACTGCTGACCAAATATACAGCAAATGTTTTCTAGGTTGAATATAGGTCTTCAAAATCAAGAAAAAAGATTGCTTATTGGATTAGAAGAAACAATGATAAACAATGTCCTGATTCGTGATGTTCATATGGGTGCCCAATTCATCGAAAGCAACTCATTGAACTTTTGGCTAATAAGAAAAATAAATTACAAAATACAATTAAATACCTGCAAATTCAATAATGAAGTAAAAAAGATGGATTCATTTCCTTTAATATATATTTTAAATGTTACCTTGAGACAAAAAAAAATAAATAAGCATACCTGAAGGTTCACACTTATGACAGAGAAGAGACTGCATGGACAGAGCAACAATTTTATAAATGAAAGAGGATGTGTGATGTGATCAACAGTATCTTCCTAGCCAGTCTTTTGTTTTCACTCTTGAGAAACAGAAGCATGCCTGTGTCCTATGGCTTCAAACAAAGCACACTTGCAAAGGAAGGTCTGACTACTAACAGAACTGTTCTTTGTTCATTTGCAGCACTGTGAAAGCTATGAAGGCAAAGCACCTGGCCCACCCTCGCCAAACAATCTCCCATCATCAACACGATGCTCAAGACAGGAGAGTCCAGAGAACTAGCAAAGCTGAAAACAAGAGACTAATGTGCACAGAGGGCAGCAGAGTGACCCAGTGCTTTCTGCTGGGAGTATGTTTCTTTCCTTTAATTGAAGAACTACATAACAAACAGCCACCACTGTATGGCACATCCTCAGACTTCTGCTTCTGGGAGATGCGGCCATCCAACAACAGGCTTCAAGGGCTCCAGCCTTACACACTGCAGTAAGTTTCACATTTATTTCCTTTCCTTAGTGTATTTTTCCAGCTCCAACATACATTACTTCTCCAGCATTCATTTTTTTGCTATCTAGCATACATTATCACTTGGAAGCATAGAGTGACACTATACAAATCGGTGCTTCTGCCACTTCTGCAGCTGTACTTTACACAGTGCACAACAGAAGCTGAGCTCTTATTTCCCACATTTCTTCTGATTTATTACCACCACCGTTTCCCAGTCCCATAGTACTTTTCCTCAGTACCTCTGGACAGTGACTGTACCTTGATTTCACAGAGAGAATGTCAATATGAGTCATGAATAACAGTACCATAAGCCATACTGAAATCAATGCAGATGTCACAAAATAGGAGCTTTTCATGAAAGCTGTTTTTAATATTTGGGCAACTGTTTTGTCTGCTGCACTATCCATTGGGAAGAGAATTCCTGTTTGATTATGCTTTCATAGAAGACATAAAAAATCAAATTAGGTGCAATTAATTGACACTTTAGACACCTGTATTGTTTTCTGTAACAGAAGAGGTTCTGGAAAATGTCCTCTGGAACTGTGTTCATCAATACCACTTCATTGGTCCATTCCATTCAATGATGGGCAAAGCACTCACATTTGATAAAATTTTAAAGCTTCCATAAAGTTAAATTAGGAGGAGAAATGAATGTAAGACAACCACAAAATGAAATGTGAAAGTATGACATTTCTGTTTCAAGAGTGAGTCCTTGAAAATATATGTGGTCACTACAGAGATGATTTTAATCACGAGACAGCATGTGAACATGTAAGTAACTCCCCAGGATCTCTGTGTCCAGTCATTTGTGACGTTGTATGGTTTTCCTTTTCCTTCGTTTGAAAAAACAGCAGCACCTGCAGAAGAAGAAAACATTTATTAGAAAAACACCAAAGTTATCAGACACTGAATTTATCACAGTGACTTCGATGGTCATAAAAAGCAACAGGCTCGTGCAGGATAGACAGTGAACACATCAGCAAAGCATTGGTATTAGTGACCCTATGGCAGCTATTATGACTATGTCCTATCAGCACGCCTTTTAGGGATAGCAGGACATTCTGTGTAACATAAGAAGGAGCCAGTAAGTCCAAAAAGCTTTGCTTCAAGAGGTGAAGACTCTCAACTGATCTGTTGTCACATTTCACTCAGGATATTCAATCGTCTCGGTGTATAATGCTTTTATAAAGGTTCATCTATATAGTCTGCTCCCTTTCTTTCTGGTAGTTTCGAATCCTGAAGCCAGTGTTACAAAGGCAATAATGATCCTACTTCATTTTAGTAGAAATAAGTTTTAGAATGCAAAATGAAACAAAAAATAACATTGATTAACAATATTTCCTACTATATTTATCAAGAGAAAGAGAAAACAGATTAAGTACAACATTAAGATTGGCACTTGTTTTAAGGCTTCTTTTGGGAAGGCAGACTCTCAAATGGCCCAGGCTGGCCTCAAACTCAAATATAGCTGATGATGACTCTAAACTCTTTACCTACCTGCCTTTACCCTTTTGGCTCTTTAAGAGTCAAAACTTATTTTAGCTTATTTAATTTTTGTCAAAGTAATTTATACTTAACATGCAAAATAGCACAGCCAAGGTGAATTCATTTTATAATTCAAAAACTATATATTCTAAACTTGTTTTAAATGTTTTTTAAAAAATATAAAATTCAAAAACTATATATTCAATCCTTGTCTTTTTCCCTAAGTAAAAACATGTACATGTAAACTTTACCTCACTGCGGTAACTAAAAGTATGTGGGGGGGGGGGAGGAAATATTCGTGGGCCTAAATTAGAGCTACTGCCATAAAACAAAAACTGAGTATAAAAGATAAAAGATTGTTTCGGGAATTAAAAAAAAACAGTTCCGTTTACTTTCAACTATATGTACCTAATACTTTTTCTCAAATCTCAGACATGAAAACTTTCAAATATAGAAACACAAAGGGACCCTGCTCAGTGGACAGAGTCCTAGATTCAATCATTAGTGTCACATAAATTGAGCAGGAGGTAGAGACAGAAGTGTGAGGAGTTCAAGGTCAACCTCTGACACACAGCATTTGAGTTGAGTGTGGAATACATGAGACCCTGTTTCAAATAGACAGGGTAAAATATTATCAAGTAAATCTTTCAATTACTAGGAAAGATTCACAGAGTAAAAGGTAAAATGAGAGGGGGGAGTTATTTAAAAGAAAAGAAATAGGGCTGGAAAGATGGCTCGGCCATTAAAGGTTAGGCTCACAACCAAAAATATAAAAGAAAAGAAATAGACCAAATATTTAAAATATTCAATGTAAGTGATATTTCAATGAAAATTCAGTACTGTTTAATATGAAGTCCCTGTTCCTTCCTGATTTAAGTGTTTCTATATATTTTTATTTGACATTTCAAGCTCCAAAAGTATATTCCTTCAAAATTTTTCTATGAAAAAGGTATTTATATCGCAGAAGCTTTTTACGATGGAAATGTAATGCAATACAAGTTTTGATACATAGGCTGTTGTTTGCTAGCTTGTCCACACTGGGGCTGTAGTCAGAATGCTTCCCTTATTTCTCTGGTTTTGTCTTTAGTTAATCAAAGTTCTTTCCATTTGTTAAAGACCTTTCTCTCTAATGCAAGTATTACAGCATAAAGAAAGTATGCTCAATCATTTTTTTGAAAGTAAATACAATTTTAAGAAAAACTCTAATGACACAGGTTCTCTAAATTCAAAACTACATTAAAGCATTATCCACATAACTTTAGACTAAATCCCACTAACTAGGATGGCATACTATTAAAGCAATTACCACCAGAGGGCAGCACTGACACATGCTCTATGAATGCATCTGCCCACAAAGCAGTGGCATTAACGGAGGAAATTAAAATGTTAACCCCTGCTGGTTTTTAAGATACAAACCATATGAAACCAAGCTGATTCGGACTTGGTGATTAATAAATCACCTTCTCACTTATTTTCTGCTTTCAAGCACTCAATCTGAAAGGAGGCTGTTCTCACAGCACTGTCTTTGCATTTACTGTTCCTTTAAAATGATTGACCTTTTCACACTAGGAAGAAGAGCAGTAATAGCGAGTTTACAGAAACAGCCCATCAAATGAGCGAAAAGTTGCCACTCATTTAGTATTTGTTGAAGGATTTACCTCATTAACACAACCAAACCCTACAGTAAGATCTAGTTAAAATTATAGGTATGTTTTGAATCTAGAGTTCTTACCCATAGGCCACAAACTACTGTAGCCTACAAAATGCACATTTCAGCACCACTGTGAGGCTTTTCTGAAGAAAACTGGCCTGGGATACATTCTTAAAATGCTGAGTCTGAATCTCAAGGTTAATATTTGACATAGCTTCTGTATCTAATAAGACATTTGAAAGAAGGTTATTTAACAAGAGGAAGACTTTAGCTTTCAGAACTGAAAGCAAACCCAGGGAAACAGTGAGGCAATGTGAATCCAACACCAGAGTAAACAAACTAGCAATTAACAGCCTATACCATTAGAATTAATCTTCAAATCAGTGAACCAAGCTCGGCTTTGCTGCTTATACCACACCTCCATTCCATTCCTCCATTCACTTACTGCCCTCTTCATCTAGATTTGCTGTTTTCTTGGACCTATAATTAGACACTTTCACTTCTCTCAATCAAATTGAAGCATAATTTCCTGCTTAGATCTGAGGTTCTTCCCTGTGCCTTCTACAATGACTCGTCAGCATCACCTTTGGTGAAGACTATTCCTGCACCCAGCCTGTACCACCGGCTCAGGACTTCAGAAGTCTCTCCAGTGCCAGCTTAAGGAGCATATACAAAAATACCTTCTATGATAACTAGTATTTTCCTGGCAAATTAGTATTTTACCTTAAAATTAACACCCATACTGCAACTCCTTATCTTTGGATTTCTTATTTACTTATTTGTTTGTTTGTTTTTCAAGGCAGGGTTTATCTGTGTAACAGCTCTGGTTGTCCTGCTCAAGGCTGGCCTTGAACTCACAGAGACCCACCTGCCTCAGCCTCCCAAGTGCTGGGATTATAGGAGTGTGCCACCACTGCCTGGCTTGTTTAAAGAGAGTTTTAATGAAGAGCTTTAAGGACAAGAAATTCTGAGGCTTCTTGAAACTCAAGTAGAATAAAGTTTCACGTGTCATAAGATTTGCTCTCATATGGTATACAATGCAAAGACAAATAGTCTATTTACAGAATTGTACAGATACCACAACTACCTAACTTCAGAGCCGCCTCATTCAATAAAGCAGTTATTTTCAACTTGTAGGTCATGACCCCTATGGAAATCACGTATCAGATATTCTGCATATCAGATATTTACATTACAATTCATAACAGCAGCAAAATTACATTTATAAAGTAGCAACAAAATAATTTTATGGTGGGGGTCACCACAACAGGAGGAGCTGTATTAAAGGGTTGCAGCATGAAAGCCAATGCCTTAAAGGAACCCTGCTATCATCAGTCCCTCCCATTTTCTTCTCTGTCAAAGACAACCACTACTGAATTTGCCATACTTTTACCACTGCCCTTCCCACAGCTTATGTAAGTGGAGCTATATAATTCATGCCATTATTCTGCTTCTTTCACTTAGAAGAATTTCCAACCTTACTTCTTTGTATTATACAATAATGTATTTCACGGGTATGGTAAATTGCTTTAGTGAATTACTTACTAATAATTTTTTTGTGATTTTCTATTTTAACCACTGGGGATCTAAAGTTAAAAAATGCCTTCTTTCCAATACATTAAGAAAGACATCATGATGTGAGAGATGTACAAAGAAAAACAATTGGCATATTAACTAAACAGTAGTAAAATACAAAACATCAGAATTACACTGAGGCTGGAGGGAAACAGGAAATAGTAAGAGTAAGCAAGCTATGAAGGGTTTTGATGTCATATCAAGAAATCTGGACATAATCCTCCAAGGAATGGAGAACAGTCCCTTCAGGAACAGCAAGCTCATTGCTTTCTTCACCCTTATCCTCCAGTGCCTCTGGAGAGAAAAGCCAGCCTATTTGCACACACACCCACAGGCATCACAACTAAGTGAGCCATGTATTACGTCATTCTGGAAAGTCACCTTTCTGATGATCTGGTCAAGAAGTAATCCTCTTCTTTACAAATTTCAAATCTTACCTTGTACTAATATCTACTAATGCAACTGAAATCTCAGCAGTGTAACCACTGAATGAACAAATGGAGAACGGATATATAGATCAAAAGTAACTCTCTGGAAGGAAGTGAGCACAGATACCCAGGCTTAACCAGACCATGGGACAGAGAAGGAAGAAGCAGCAGCCTATGAAGAGTACAGAAGAGAAGGTCACCAGCAGCGAGTGCCGAGGAAATAAACAGGTGTGATAACAGCTACACAGTCCTCTACGTGACAGATGGCTGAGCCTCACCACACCCACTATTTCCAGCTGCCTATGAGATGGACATTATTAGCAGCATTTTATGAAAAAGAAACAAGCCTAAAAAAGTGCCACACAACCACCCTGTCGTAACCGTCCTTAGCACCACCATACCTAAAATATACAGTTTTCTCAGTTTTCAGCTGGCAAATCAGTGTTTTTTATGGATGCAAGTAAAATGACTGACAGGCTTTAAAACTGACTATTTAAGGCTTTATTCACTGCAAAGCTGACTCAAATTTTGTCTTGAAATTAAGAGAAGCACTTAAAACACAGAATTGCAACCTTAGGCAAATACCAGAAGATGACTAAAATCCAGTACCATTTCTCCCAGGAAGAGTATCTTTAAGAACTATTAGAGGATTTTTAAAGTACTAGTTAGAAAATGAAATAAGATTTTAGTAATACTGTAGGGGAAAAATATGTATTCAAAAATTGAAAACAGGAAAATATAAAGTTTAATTAAAAACTTAGCTTTCTACTTAAAAATAACACATAAAAACTCCCATGTTATAAAACAAATGCGCAAGCACAAGCAGTTGGCATATCATCTATGCAGTTAAAAAGTGCCCCAAACTATGTAACTTAAAGCAAAAAAAAAAAAAAAAAGCTGCAGCAGGCAAAACAGCTCCTCAACAATTATTTCTTGCTTTTCAGAGCTAATGTTATTGTCATCAATTAATTTTCAGTTTTACCAATTATAATTTCTAAGTTAAGAATTTGTTTGTTTATATTAAATGGTGCTAAATTTTTGAAATTATAGTCAATGGAGCTATTTCTGCCTGCCTACACTTGAGAACTCACCACATATTCAATACTTTCTGGCAGCTATACACAGAAAAACAAAAAGAAAAGAAAAAGGGGGAGAGGAAGAGAGAGAGAGATCATCAAAAATAGCCCATAATTAAGTGATCACATTGTTCTGCATGCTTAATTTTCCAAGCAGCATTACTATAATTTACATCTTAAAAATTAATCATAAAGTAACATTAAAAATGCAGCATCCTACAAGGCCAAGTACTTAAACTTAGAGAAAACTAGTAATTAATACAGCAGTAACATCAATACAATGCTCCTAATATTAAAAGCCAAAAATGTACTATTAAGTTTAAATGAAAATTTCAGCACAGTTACTAAATTACAATTTTTGTATTAAGTATTCACTAAAGTAGTAGCACTTTAAACAGTGATTAAGATAATCAATTATATCATTTTTGTATGTTCTATTCCCTACAGAAAAATATGTACAATAATTGTATGTAACTATAAAGTTCATAAACGCAAAGTTACCAACCAAAAAAATTAATGAAATAAACAAAACATACTTGGTTTCATCCATCACTTCTACTTCTGTAGGGGCTGTGATGGGTGCGTTTGATCGTCCTGCTGTGGGGTCATCTGTGTTTAACTCTCCATTTGTAGAACTTACAACCTGTTCAATAAAGATAAAGAATATTTATGTATATCAAACACGTACATATAATCATATATACTAATTAAAATTAAGGCATTTAAGTTAGAAAGTTAATATGAGGAACACAAAATAATTAGTAGAACAAAGCCATCCAACATGTGCTTTAGACTTACTTCCTTTCCATCTTAAAGCTTCTACTTTCTGCTTCTCTCTAGACACTGCCTCCTACACTGAGGTTTCCATCAGTTCCTCTTGTGTGCCCATCTTCTTTGGCATATTACATATGATTGACTTCCCCTCCTGTAATCTGTTATCACTGAGACTCCAAATCACACTGCCCATTTTAAGGAACAACAGTATCATCCATACATACAGCTTAGTGTGTAGATCCACATCTGACCTGTAAGTTGGGATACTGCCCCAAACACATATCCTATCTAATGAGTTCTCACTACCTCTTATTACCACTAGGACTCAAGTATCAAAACTATGTGATTTCTCCTACGGGGGAAAAAAAAAACCAAATAAACAAAAACTCAAACAAACAAAAAAGCCCATTAATTAGTCTTCTGCTCTGACTTCCATTACAAATAAAATACATTATCCACACAGCAACCAAAGTGCTCCTTTTGAGGTATAAATCTCACTGAGATAATTCCCTTCTGAAAAGTCCCAACCTTTGGCTTCTCATTTAACTTAAAATGAAAAGCTGTATTCCCCACATGCTACACTTCCATATAACCTACTGTCTGCCTAATTCATTAATACCTCATTAGCTCACCAGCTTCTACCTAACATATCAAGTCAGGCCTTAGCACTGTCCACTGTCACTGGCTTTTTCTAGCATATGCCTAAGATTTCTAAGTAGAAACAGTCTTTAATGCTGCATTTTGTTTTCGACTCTTTGTATTTGTGTTGATTTTCATTCAATTGTTTTTATGTTCAACATATGGTATCTCTATGTAGCCCTGGCTATCTTGAAACCTGAACTCATAGAGACATGTACGCCTCTGCTTTCCAGGTGCTAGGATTAAAGACACATACCATCACTGGGCTTCTTCATATGTTTTTGGTTTTGTCTTGATGCTATTTCCTGATTTATCTATTTTGCTGTTAATAATCTGCCTCTATTAAAAGTGTCTCATGCTGGGCGGTGGTGACGCACACCTTTAATCCTAGCATTTGGGAGGCAGAGGTAGGCGGATCTCTTTGAGTTAGAGGCCAGCCTGGTCTACTCGAGCTAGTTCCAAAACATGCTCCAAAGCTGAAACCTTGTCTTAAAAAAAAAAAAAGAAAAGAAAAAAAAAAAAGAAAAAAACCTGTGCTTCATGAGAGCAGTAATCTCATCTTGCTCTCTAATAACATGACACAGAACACTCTACTTATTTGTCAGAATACATGAATATAGCCATCATGAATGATATTCTAAGACTTTTAAGATTATAATAACAAAATTCCTAAATTATCCATGGCCCTACAAGCTCATATGATTATTCTTTTCTTTCCTCTTAATGTTAAATTGGAAAGGCTGGTCACACCCCATGCTTCCCTTCTCCCTACAGTTCACCCATTCCCTTTTGCCTTATCATCACCCGGTCTGCTCTGTCTTTACTTTCAAATTGAGAATTCCCTTGAAAACAGCTAGTGAAGTCTGAAAATGTATTCTGCAAGTTTTGCTCATTCCTCATTTCCCTACACAATTTCTGTATTTGTTGGCATCAGCTGATCACTCTTCTCTCTATATAGACTTATCTAGACTCTATATTAAGGTGGATTTATATCCAAAACTAGCTGTACCACTAGCAGCTAATCAAGCATGAGAAAGATACTTTGATCTTGCTAAATCTTGGGGTCCTCAACTATGAAATGGAAAATGGTGTCTACTTAACTGTCAGCTGAAATGGCCCGTATATCTAGCTAGAGATCAAGCAGTGGTGGCCATCACCACTATCAGCCGGCCTTTTGAAGGGGTACATTACAAAGGAAAAATGAAGGTACAATGCTACAGGGAAGCCCAAATCAATCAACGAAGCAAATACATTTTTAAAAATTTCACATCAAATTCTAAAAAATTGGTCTATTTAGCTGACATTTCTAGAATTATGACTAAACTAGAAGGTTGAAATATCAGTGTTTTTCAAGCTGATTTGTTTTCAGGGAAGTTTATAAAAATGACAGATGATCTTAAGTTTGGCATTTCAGAATATAATCAGGTATCTTAGAATTTACTGTTATAATGCTTAAAGACATTTTAAGACATTCTGCTCTGACATTCCAACTTTGAGGGAGAAAGGAAACCAACCATATCATAGTTAGTATTTTAAGCAACTGACTCTAGTTTCACTGCGAAGTTTCAGAGGACAGGAGAAGAAAGCCTACTAGCAATTCCAAAAGCCATTCTCATAGTCAGATAAGACAGAGAAGGCCTCAGACAAAGCAGCACCTCTGTCACCAAGGATTTGTGGGGAAGAGGGTTGAGAGAGGAGTCTGCTGTACCGTCCAGGCTGTCTCTGCCTCCCTACTGCTAGAATCACTATGTCTGGCTCATGGGCAATGATTTTGCATAAAAATTCATAAAAAATTACTTATACTACTACCTTTCTGGTTTCTATTTTACTTCTCAAAGGCATGGTTACCAAGTGTATACCACAGGCTCACAATATTAATGAATCATATAGACAGCTATCCATTAACTACATCAAAAATACTAAAACACATATCAGCATTCTCTAAGACATTCATTAGAAACCATGCTAATATGTGAGATACAGTTAAAAGAATATTTTTCTGAGTTTACCGAGCCGATGCTAGTAAACACTTAAATCACTACATACTCTGGAAACTAGAGAATAACTGATAGTTGTCATTTTAAAAGATGACACCATAGTAAAATGGATTTCTCATGAACCACAAGTATGATTCGCCACAAGCAGTTTTTATTCTTTCAATCAAAATAAGGCAGATTTTCAATTTAACTTTCACTAAAAGAGACATGAATTGTAGCAAATTTCTCTGAGTATTCAAATATTTGGATAGGTAAAATGTTATTAAAACAGAAGCTCGTAATACATGAATCATACTGATTCATACCAATGTGACTCACCAGGAAACTTTCTAAACTAATGAGGTTGGAACTATTTACATAATAGAAACAATAACTACATCCTTCTATAAACACTCTTTTGTAGATATGGGTACCCCAGAAAACTATAGAGAGATTGAATTATAAGTCACTCAATTTTGTTCATTATAACTCTGAACTGTTAATGACCTGATACAGAAGACTGAGACAGCTTTAGAAATGTCTTTAGAAAGCTCACATACATAATAAGCACAACCAAACGAGAGCTCAGCTACAATGGAAATGGAGATTACTACTATCTGTTAAGATCAGGATGCTTTAAAACCTAGTTTTAGAGAACTGATCAGCAAGGTAGGAACATCACACTGGGGTGGCAAATATGTTCCTAGCCCCGAGATCAACTAAATTCTACTTTCTATTATATTTCAAATCATTCCATTTCTCTCACCTCTACTACTCACTCCTGCAACTCAGCTATAGACTTTTTTGTTTTGTTTTTCAATTTGGTTTTTCAAGACCGGGTTTCTCTGTATAGCAGCCATGGCTGTACTGGAACTCTCTGTATAGCCGTGGTTGGCCTCGAAATCACAGAGATCCTCCATCTGCCTCTACTTCCTGAGCACTTGGATTAGCACTACCACGCCCTACCGACTTTTTTGGTTTTTTAAAGACACCTGTAACACAGACTATAGGTCTTGAAGTTGGGGCAATCGTCCTTCAGCCTCCTAAGTGTTGGGATTATAGGCATGAGCTACCACACCCAGCTTCAGCTATAGACTTTTCATAGCTGTGTCTCTGACTCATGCTTCTCCCTTTAATCAAGTCTTTACCAAAGTAATCTTTAAGCTTCCAGGGTAAGCAGACAGGTTGAAGCTGCTTCTTTGTGACACCATGAAGACAGAGCAAGGTAGCAAAATTTAGACTCCATTCCAAAGAGATACAGTGGAGGAGCACTGCAAACACAAAGTGAGAGAACCAGTGCCGCATACAGACGCAGCAAAAAGAAGGCCCTGCACAGCTCTCCAGGGGAGGAGGGACAGAGCCCCTGAACAGTTCTCCAGGGAAAGAGGGGCACAGAAGTGCCATCTAAAGTTAAGCAAGGAGACAGAGACCTTGGTGAAAAGAAACCAGCAACCCTCCCCAACGAACAAGCACACAGTCTCCACAAGCCTTGAAAGTACTTCAGAGTTTAGATAGTGACTCCTCTGGTGTAACGAGTTATCAGTGTAGAAGAGGTCCTTTCTTCCACTTCCCATACCTCAGAGGGCTGAGGCCAGGTATCAGTTTAAGAGGCAACCTTGTGTTTAAGACTAAATTACCCTGGGAGCCTGATAACAAGGAGCAATCATAGTCCAGGAGGAGCCTGGAACTAACCCAACACAACTTTAAGTGAGGGATAATTACAGCAGACAGTCTTAAAGAAAGAGTCAGCAACCTCAGCTGGGGCAGCAAAAGGTATGATGGCCAGTAAACTACCCTCAATCACTAAGAACTTGCCTACCACCTAAGAACTACTGTGAATTCCAAGAAGCCCATAGCCACTGAAACCACGTATCTGCCACAAGGTTCACTGCCACAAGGACTGAGAACTCTAACGTACCAGTAGACTGCTTGAAATTTGCGACCTATGACAGAACCCAATACTGGGCAGGTTTTCAAAGAGTACAAACTTCCAGGTTTGGTGGTGTATGCACAGGCAGTGGCAAGCTGATTCTCTGTGGGTTCAAGGGACAGTCTAGTCAATGTATCCAAGTTCAGGACAACCAGGGTTACATAAAGAGACCATGTCTCAATAAACAAGCAAACAGTGGGAGACTGGTCTGTCTGTCTGAATGATATGCTTGCTTCTCCAGCTCCCCAGTACACTAGGGAGATACCTCTGACTAGAACAGCTAGACATCCCAGGGTATATAAAACAGATGGGAACAGGAAAGAA